AGAGCCAGATTTCTACATTAAAGGCAGTATTATTTGAATGTGATATGGTATATGTGGCAGAATTTCCCCATTGCTTCCAGTTCTGTATATCCAAGAGCACTGAATACATCTCTTGATAGATGACAGCAAAGGTAGCGTACATTGCAATCCAAACATTGGAGAACGTTCAGCCCACGCTACAAAGGAACAGTCTGTATCCAATAGATCAGGGGTGTCAAACTCAAGGCCCGCGGGCCAGATGCGCTCCACATAGTGCTTAGATCTGGCCCACGGGATCGCCCTGGAAATAAGCAAAGGATCGGCCCGCGGTGCCTCTGCCAGCAAAAATGGAACTCGGGAGGGCTGTGTGTGGCCCTCACGAGCTCCATTTTCCCTGGCAGAGAGCTGCAGGAGGCCGTCACAGCTGAAAACAGAGACTGAGAGGGCCACGTACAGTCCTTGTGGGCTCCGTTTTCACTGGCAGAGGGCTGCAGGATGTCGAACTGACCATGTCCACCCCGACCACACTCACTCAGCCCCCCTCCAAGGTCAAACACAATCCTGATACGGCCCTCAATGAAATCGAGTTTGACACCCCTGCAATAGATGATTCAATGCATGGTCCCATTTTTGGTAGGGAAGAGATTAAAATAGGTATCTTTCTCAATGATGAACTAGAAGCAATCAATTTTCTTTTTTGCTGTTTATAAGCATCAATGGTCCAATTTTATCTTTTAATAAGGTATGGCTGGGGGAGAGGTTAATTTTCAGAGGTGATCTCTGCAGAGTTCCTTTATGGAAATGGTCCTTTTTTCTCATTTTTAATAACAAAACTATGCAGTTAATAAATACCCCCAAATTTCATGTTTTTCATCTTGATATGATTTAGGAGACTGAATACATCACCAAATCTGACTTGGAACTATTAAAGCTGGACAATCTGTGAAGCCTTCAGACTATGAAGATTAAGCTCATGTTGGAATGACAAGTACGGAAGGCCAAGTGCATTATTTACTTGTCCTGTTGTTTCCAAATATAGTTTCTTGATGTTTCCAGCATTTCTCTTAGCTCAGAGTTTCCCAACCTTCCGGCAACGGGTGGGTGGGGAGAAAGGATTGTTTGTGTGACTGCTCACTCAAGTGAAGATGTGCACGAGTGCTTGCCCGCCACTTCTGCAGCCTGGGGGTTGGGGATCCCTGCCTTAGCTGACTAAACCCATAGAGAGTATTCCATTGCTATATATCAGGGTATCAATTTCTGGTGAGACTGATACCTCAAACGGATGCCTTTTGCAGGGTCTTCAGCATTCTTTCCCATTTTTTGATAATACTTGTTCAGAATTCCCCAGCCTACATATGCAGTGAAACTGAACAGGTGCAAACTGTCTGTGACTAAAGAGACATTTAGATAACAATAAGAATGCAAACTGCTCTATTACATGTTTTATATTCTCTCAGAGCTGTAGTTTTCTACAACACTGCTTATAAGAGATTTGTTATTTATCCCAGAAAAACAAAAAAGGGAAATGAATCTAACAAGCTACCCAGAGCATGCCCACTGAATCAGATAACTGATTGGAATGATCAGCAAGACAGAATGTTTAATATATATATATACAAAAAGCTAAAATGGACTAAAAGTGGCCAAATTTAGATTAAAAACATATATTCTAGAAATCTGTAATGACTGTGAGCGATTAAATACAACTTCAGACAGGTGCCATTATGAAGCATATCAATATAATTCATCCTGGTTTTTTTTTTTTAGGATTCTACAATTTCTCTTTCTAGATTATTCTTTCCTTACTAAAGCACTTAGTGATACTATAGACCACGGGGGTGTCAAACTTGCCGCATCACGTTGCCGTCACACGAAGTTTTTCCCATTCGCGGAATGGATGCATCTAACCCGCAGGCTGCCAGTTTGACACTCCTGCTATGGACTTTGTTACCTGCCATTTTTTGTTTTTTCTTCTATCAAATGAAACAGTTTTTGCTTCTACAGTTCCAAATTATAAACACCCAAGTAACTGTTTTCACAGCTTGTCCAGTTGAACTTGTCAATGCTATTTTGATCTTTGCGCTAAATCTACAACCCATCAGGTCCGGCAGAAAAGGTATATTCTGGGTTCCATCTGACAGGACCCAGATTACCTGACTTTTCTACAGTGGCTCCCACCCTCCATCATACCTCCTTGCTCCCAAGGTGATGTTAGCCTGCGTGCCTGTTAGTCTTCAGTAAGGTCTTGTATATGCGGTTCTTGCAGCAACTTTGGGAGCTGATAGGGAACCTGTGCAATTGTCATATAGGCAATCCTCGATGTATAACCACAATTGAGCCCAAAATTTCCATTTCTAAGCAAGACAATTGTTAAGTGGGTTTTGCCCCATTTTATGACCTGATCACAATTGTTAAGTGAATTAATGACTTTGTTAAGAAGCTGTTAAGTGAATCTGGCTTCCCCATTGACTTTGCTTGTCAGATGGTCACAGAAGACGATCACATGACCTCAGGACGCTGAAACTGTCAGAAATACATGCCAACTGCCAAGCATCCAAATTTTAATCACAAGTCCGTGGGGATACTGCAACAATTGTAAATGTCACAAATGGTCATAAGTCCCTTTTTTCAACTAATCACAATAGGGAGGGGCATATCAAGTTGACAGATAGGAAAAAGGGGGCGAGATATATTCATAGCAACCTATCAGGGTTGTTGAGAATGACCATTCAAGCACATGATAGTTTTTGATAGATGTCTAATTGTTGGTTTCATATTGGAATCATAAATAAATTAACCAGTTGATTATATTCAGCATTTTGTTGAGCATTAGAAAGGCATCCATACTGAAACCTCCCCTCATTTCTTATTTTTTATATGTGTTAGAACTTTAAATTTCCAGAATTCCTCCTCAGCATGACCATGAAGAGGAAGCTGATTTATACATGTAGTACAGATACATGGATTATATCAAATTACCTATTTTAAAGATTATCTATCCTGTCCTGCTCATAACACTGTTTACAAAAATGCATGTTAACTGAATTCAAATACAGCATGCTAGTTTGAAAAGTGAAAAGGTAAAAATAAATAATCAACGTTATATAGCTTGCTATTCCAACTCAAACAATTGATGCACATGCCAGTTTTGTACCCTACCGTTTCAATCCAATTATTCTAAATAAAGAAATTAAGATGGCATTAGGAGATTAAGTGAAGGTCGCAAGAATGGATAAGAGAGATTTTAGGTTTCTTAAGCATTCTGCTCTGTACTAATACAGTAGATTGGATGTTTAGATATTATCCCCAAGCCGCATAGAAACTGCTTTCTCTGAGCAACTCCCATATAACTGGGCCAGGTTTAAATGCTGAGGCATTTGGATACAGGGCAATGTGATCAATGAAATTGCTTGACAAAGAACAAAACATGAATGAAAAGCAATGGTAAGGAAGGGTAAGGAAGAACAAGGCCTTAGTCCTGCAGACCAGAACATCTCCAATTCAGACATTAGTTTAACATGTAGGAACAAAACCTGTTCCAGTTTGGTGCAAAGGGAACCAATGTTAACTGGTTCACAGAGGTACATGCGTGGTTGAGATTCATGTTTCCAAAATGCAGAAAATGTATGAGTTCAAAGGCAGTTGTTCCCCGGGAACCTACAGCAGTGAACATAACTTTATCTCCTCCAATTTTCCCCCACTGCCCTTGAGGTAGATTAGGCCAAGAAAGAGCAATGAGCCCACTGACCTTCCATGGCTGGGTGTAGACTTGAACCTGAATTTCAGAAGTTCTAATCCAACACCTTAACACTTTTTGCAGGCAACAAGCTCCTAGTCAATAACATATTGTAATGATGTGTGGAATGACTTTGGGAGGAGGGAGGAAGAGATGCTGCCTAGGGAACAATCATATAAAAGAAGGCCTAGCCTGAGGTTGCATTAAAGGGCAGTGAAAAATCTTCAAAAAGAAACCTCCCTATTTTCTCAGTCTGTAAAGGAGATGGTGAGAGATTTGTACTTTCAGACTAATGAGGTTCTGTAAATGGGGCCTCATAATAGATAAGACTTAGCTCATTTTATGGTGCTTCCTGTCTAGGCTGACTGGGAAGGCTGATTCCTGCTTTTACCCCTTCTCTTCTTGCTATCCAATGCCATATTTCCACCCCCCCGCATTTGCAGATTCCAGTTGGTAGGTTTAATTCTAGAAACATACCTAAGGATATTGTTTTGCATTTTTTCCCATCTTGTATTTGTGCCAGACATAGAAAGAAGCCAAATATATTTCAGCTAAAAATATTTCAGAGATAGATTTTAGGAAGGACTAATGCAACAGATTAGCAGCTTCTTGCTAAGCAGATTCTTTAAAAGCATGGGCTAAACGTATTCTAAGCATGATAAATTCTATAACTAAAAAAACCAATACAAGAGAAATCAAGAGATGCATTTTAACATATACTGTGGAAGAGTAGTTATTACTTATGCAATAGAAATAATAAAGGTAGCTTAGTTTGTCATTAAGTACTACACTGACTTTCTACACTTTTGGCTATACAATTTGGGATGAACACCCTTTGAGAATGGTATGAGAGTAAGAGGAAAAATTGCTGACTACAGGAACCAGAAGAACTACTCAAGTGACTCTGAGGACACAGATAAACCTCCAAGCACTTCAACGACCCTCTAAAAGGATGCAAATGACCAGCTGTCTGCAAGGAATATAAATCCTTCCATTCCCCACTATCTTGTCAGAGCTGAAGAAGCTTCTTAGATGAGAAGCAAAACGTCTTCAAAGAAAAAACAAGAAAGTCCAATTGCCCCCTGAAAAAGCACCTTTGGAATAACCACGACCTGGATGACTGAGAATCTCTACAGACTTTTACACTGCCTTTCATTTCTGCAACACTAAATTGTACTGGAATTAAAAGCTTAGTTAAAAAAAAAAAAGTTTAAACATCGCAATCATGCATTATTTAACGTTATTTTTTTAAAGAAATCTGTAGTGTTGAATCTTTGTGGCTTACCATTAGTGAATGTCTATTGGCTGAAAGAAGGCCTGTCCCATATCCTGATCCGAGGCCTCCCATAGCTCCATTATGAGAAGGGCCTATTAAGCTATGGAGGTCGCTATGACTACCAGGCATGGCAGTTGAAGGTCCCACTGCATGGTTCCGGAGAACATGAATAGCATCGTCCAGTCTTTCCAAGCGGTCTTCGATTCGGCTTTGCTGATAGTTTATGACAAAAAATAAGAGAGCATCAGAAAACGTAACAGACTGTCTCCTGTTTGAGCAGAACTCACATAAATGGTGGATCATATATTTTGCACTGCTACTGCTGTGTGTCAGGCAGTTGAAACCGAAAAGGATTGCTTGTAGCTGAGCTGTTTCTGAATCTGTTTCACAAACAGATTTATTAAGGGTATGCTGCTTAATTTTTTCCCCTTTGCTCACCAAAATACTGTAAATAAAACAACTGACACCCAAAACTATCCTGCTAAGATACCATGAAAATTCTGTTTTCATTTACATGGGCAAAACAGTTCATGTTTGCTGCCCCAGGATCCTGAAATATTTTGTGTCAGAAATATCAAATTGCCATGACCTATTAAATTATTTCTGTATGCTAACTTCTTATCTAAGGCTTATTTACTTCTCACTGTTTTAACTGGAGCTGTGAAAATTGATATGTGGAATTCTATGATCAAAAATAGCCTGCATTCGGACATATATTCCAATACTCAAAAAGAAGAATAAGAAAAAAAATACAGTATTTTATCCATTTACAGCACAAACATCTAAACAGGTTTCATAACACCAGAGCAATTTAAATAAGTTAAACAAGTACATTGCTGTCTGGGGAATTCTGTGAAGTCCACCCATCTTAAAAGTTCCTAAGATTGAGAAACACTGGTTACTGGTCTGTCTAAAAAACCTAATCGGGTTTTTAAAAGAAACAGTCCCTTGAAACCACCGATAATTTTCTGATTATTTAAAGTGCAAAGAATTATGGTGGGCATTGTTATTTTATTTTTTTAAGGCCGAGACTTAAGATGATATAAGGTAAAGCAATGTGTCTGGATATATTCTGCCAAAATTCTTCATTATACAATTCTCAAGAATGTTTCTGAAGTGGCTACTTCATTCTTACTGAAACCACATGGGAAAAAAGACTGGTGTCAACATCCTTATTTAATATATTATGCAATGCTCAGTGGAAAAACACTACTTAATTTCCACCTAATGGAAATGGTGATGTTCCTTTCTTATTCTGAATGTGGCTTCTATATTAGGACCATTGTACAACTGAAGCTCCAAACTTTCTCTTAGCTTCAGAAATGTTTTCTCATATGGCATTGGGGGCATTTGTGGAAATATATTCTTTGAGGAATACAAAAGGAAGACAATCCGAGGCACCTTTTGCCACGACACTAGCTGAGCAACTCTTTGAAGGCATTATTCACTTCATCTTGGCAAGCTTTGATTGTTTATCATTGTGACTACAAGACTCATAGACTTATGTGGAAGAGGCCAATAACAAGCTAATACCATTAACCTAAGAAAGTAGGTGTTCTCTCTTCTTGTGGTAACATCATTCTGGAACCCAACATTCAAAGCAATTGTTTTAATTAAGTCCACAGGCTCTGAAAGGCGGTCTTGACAGTTTTGATGGGCATATATAGCTCAAGGACACCAATACGAGGTTATCTCTTGCCAGAAATATTACCATTGGCATTGGCTCTTATATTGATATTTTGGAAATATAACTGGGTAGCAGAATATAGTTTACATAGATTGATATAGCTTGATGAACTGATATAAGCTAAGATGCTCTCCAAAACAGCAGTACATCATCTTCTTTACAGTTATAAAAGATATTGAGAATGTTACAATGCATGCACATTACGCATATATGCAACACACTGAAACTGATGAATATTAAGAATAGCTTATTATGCTATTTTTTTCCATATACAGTTGAGGCTTGATCATCTTCCTGATTAAGCAAAGTGATCTGTTCATACTTCCATTTACTTATGGGAAAATGAGCCCTTTCCCCCACAAAAATACTATACTTACATTAGGCCACTCCATCATTTTGCTTTTTAAGCAAACTAAGTTTGATCTTCTTGTTTTTCTTCTACAAGTACAGATTCCAACCTTACACAGTTCATATTAGACAGCATGCCCTATTTCCATGTGTGGTATTTTACTACGTAATCATTGCTGATGAGCTAAATATCTATGGAACTTCTCAATCATCCAGGTCAACTATGACTGAGAATCTCCATAGAAATTTAGCATTGCTGATTAGCTTATGCAAGAGAGTATATAGAAATCTGTTGTGCTCTATGGGTGGATCTCCTATTTAGAAATGATCAGGAAAAGAGTGCACTAATTTGTGTTACGCTCCATTAGGAAAATGGATAGGAAAGACAAGAAGACTGCAATAAGATATTAACAGGTAGTTAATATTGAACAGGTAGTTCGCCATTGAAAAACATACCAAAGAATGTAAGGGACCTTCATAATTAGGAGATGATGATGCTTGCCCTCCATTTCTAGACCAAACAGCTGTTCCTGCTAATAGTAAAATGGGAGTTACAATTGGAACTATGCAAACAAAATGTCTTTTCAAAGACACTGAATAATACCGTAGATATGTACATAACATTTCCCAACAGTCATATTAAACCACATCTCTTGTGCAAAATGTTGAAAACAAATATTTATTATGCAGCCCCACCCAGAAGCCACATCATGTCTCCAAATTGCATGCCAGCATATGAGATTTCATCTATTTTGTAGTTGTATATCAGAAAGCAAGTGGAAATTGATATATATTTAAAATAAATAAATAAAAGAATTGTAGCAAGATCCTGTTAGTTTAACCATAGCAGGAGGCATTATCAATAATTTTCATTTATTATTATCAGAGAAAAACTCTGTGGCAAGTTTGTTGATTGGTCTATTGGTCTGTAGCAATGCAGTTTTTACTTAAATGTTTACATTCAATGCATTCTAAAAATGTAAATTCTAAATTCTTGTAACTGATAGAGGTTGTTACCTCTTTTGTTTTATTTAAGTCTTTTCAATCAACTACTGTGACATCATATTTATTGCTTTTTAAAAAAGAGCAAAATACAAGTGTCAATAGTATAATAAATTAGTTTTCTAAGAAAATCTCACTGAGTAATCTAGGATCAAGTGGATTTTTAAAAACTCTCTCCTTACAGAATGTGTTTATGAAGTACAATAATTTAGATACTGGAAAAGATATTTCTGTATATGGTACAATAATTCACTAATACTGAATAACTATGAAGACAGAAGACTGTTTCCTGGCTCATTTATGGCACAGTCTTTTTTCATGAAGTAAAATCACTGGGAGATACATCAGTCTTCTTTAATTTGGGGTCCTGTAGCCAATCAATAGGCACACATTATTGTTGTAACACATAATTCCTGGTTGAGCAAGTTTAATGCACATGAAAGCAAAATATTAACTTTTAAATCTAAATTAAGGGATTAATCATCCAGAGGTCCTTTTAGATCTTAGATGAAAGTTTACTCTGGGACAATAACAAAAATAGTATCATTTTGGAAATAGACAGAACGGTTCATATCAATCTCTGCTGTCAAGATATTACATTGTTGACATTAAGTATGTTTTATGGAATAATTGTTTAACTTAGATAGCCTTAGGATATTTTTCTTTTCTTCTCCATTTATTTATGATGCACACACATACACACACACACACACACAAAATCATATACACACAATCATTCCCTCAGCCATATAAACTTTGCTGCATGGAATTGAAATACTTTCTAGACACAAGACAGACTTTTCTGTCTTGAACTTCAATTGGTATTCTTTTTACTGATAAGATAAAAACTGATAGTAACTCCTCTCTTCCTGCCTGTCTGAACTGCAGGAAGTAAGGCTGTGAACTTGCTAGATTGGAAAATGTAGTATACATGATGTTATGACTGTCTGCTAAATCTCTAAAGTCTTGCTTACTCATGAATTAAATATTCAATCTCTTTAACCTTGGCATTTATTCTCCAGTACCGTGTAGGAATGCTTTGTTTTTGCCATGAAATCACCCTTAGAACAAGTTGAACTATATTATAGGAAGAACATAATAATGGAAGAGGAGACCATATATTAGAAAGAGTCACACTTTCCTTTTAGCAATTCACATTTTCTCAAAAGGAAGAGCTTGGAAAGAGGAATACATTCAGACTTATATGCAGTATATTCAGAGTAAACCAGAGTAAAATTTCTGTGTCATGACAAACGGACAAATGTATTGATTAGTTTTAGATCCAACCCAATGTATTTTATATGTATCCAACCCAACGTATATTCTATTTCCTTAAATCTTTGGGGGAACGTAAGCCCAGTAATAGCAATAGCACTTTACAGCCCTTTCTAAGTGGTTTACAGAGTCAGCATATTGCTCCCAACAATTTTGGGTCTTTCTTTTACCCACTTCGAAAGGATGGAAGGCTGAGTCAACCCTGAACCTGGTGAGATCTGAAGTGCCAAATTGCAGTCAGCTGGCAATCAGCAGAAGTAGCCTGCAGTACTGCACTCTAACCACTGTGCCACCAAGGTTCATTATAATTAGTAATAAAGTAATAGTAATAGTTGCCTATTATTGTTGCAATAATTGTATATTGTTGCGTTTGCAATAATTCTTAAATTCTTCTCTCTGCATGGGTTAATTAATTTATTGTGCAATATCTATGTCATTAATGCATGGTTTCAGAAAACAAAATAAATGGTGTACATAAGGGATGTTCAGAAACCAAGTTGAATATTCAAGAATCAAGGTTGTTTACTATGCAGCCTTGAGTTAAGGTAAAGCATACCTTAACATATTAGCCTGCTCCCTGGAACCAGCCTACACACTTGTACAGTAGGATAGAAGACTTTCTCAGCCTTTCATAGAGATCTTCATGCAATACTTTTATTTTACTATTAAGCCCTGAAATGTTAAAACAGGCGGCAGTCTGAAATTGTTTCCCAGAGAACTGAACTTTCTGATAATGCTCAAAAGCATTATTTTAAAGATTTTCTTGCTATTTCATTAACTAACTGTTTGGTAAAATATAATTTTAACCACAATACCTGAGAGAGAAGGGGGTGAACCAACAGGAGTTGAAGGATTTGATGAAAAGCTGTTGTTGGTATGATCTGGAGAGTAAATCTTTAAAAGATGATACAGAATTAATCTAAAGTCACTTGGAATGGATACAGACAGAGGATTGGCACTCTTCATTATAAATATACTTATACTTATAACTCATAAGATGAAAAGGATGCTATGAAGAACATGAAACCACTATGACAAAAACATTATGAGGTAATAAGACAGTTGTGATGAAGGATAGCTTGTGGGAGGTTTTAGTTTATCCCTTAGATTAAATTATCATAGTAGGTTCTACAGTACTAAAATATGTATACTGTACATATAAATGGAGGGGGGAATCAGAAAATTACTTCAATTTAAGCTAAATATCTTAAATTATTATAGAAGTCAAGTTTTGTAAATAAAACATTGAAATATAGAATAGTGAAAAATACTTATTGAAGTAAACTCTACAAAATAGAAGATGGAAAAATTATCCCGACTGATGTGTACAACTGCATATACATGGCTGAGTAAGTATATTAGAGTTTTTAGTTAAGATTCTCAAGGGTTTATCTACTTAATACCCTGAATGGATAAAACTTCTGTGATCATTTGGGACCTGATTAGAAATCATAAACATCATTAGACTCTTATCTTGTCAAATTATCAAAGCAGACCATGCTGGGAATTCATATTGGCCACTATTTAAGCTGGGCTCATGAACTTTTCCTTAGGGTTCTGCAGAGGCAATTAAATTAATTAACCCCTTGATCATCTCTCAGTTAACCAATGCCTCCAGGCACCAGTTAAAGTAGATTTTGTACTGTATCCATTATTTGGGAGTTGTGCTAATTTTTGTCTTTGTAACATATGTTAGCTGGACATGGAAAACATCAATTCTCACGAGAACCCCATTGGAACCCCACTCTGCACAGAAAATACATTACAGTGAGAGTTCATTTAAAAGTCAACGTTAAGTTTTAATTTGTAGAAATGCACTGTGCTGTATATGTACTTAATGGATCCTTACCCAAATCAGAGATGGAAATAAATAGAATGGGTGGCAATTGGAAGTCAAGGCTGGCTTTTAAATAACTGCAGCAAAACAGATTGAGAGGCCCTTTGATCTTTTTATCCTGACTTCTGGGAGTCTGCTTTCCCATATGCAGTGCCTAAGCAGATAGTATATCATCCAAATTACTGAAAGATGTGAACTGGGGAATGATGATACGGTTTCGGATTACAGATTCATCACCTCACCAGGAAGTAGTAATTCTATGGAAAAGATTCATAAGCTTGGTCCCTGCCCGCATGGGTGGATTATATCTCCAAGGACCTATGCATAAAAAAGCAGGTTCCTTTAGGGAGCTGTTCAAAGGCCTTTAAGGCTAAAAAGGGAAATTCAAAACTCAAAATCCTATCCCACTGCAGTGAGACTTACCCCCTTTTACTAATGGGAGACTTGAAAGACACAGTTGAGGTAATTTGGCATTGAGATCGGGGGTGGGATCCAAATTGGTTTACCACCGGTTCGGTGGGCGTGGCTTGGTGGGTATGCTTTGTGCGCGCGCACGCTTTGTATGTGCACAGAGGCATTCCTATTCAATTTCTCCTGCACTCTCCCTGTGTCTTCAACAGCTGACTTGCGGCAATCCGCTATGCCGTGCGATGCAGCTGAGCATCAAAAGCAGGAAATAAAGGTCAGTATGTAGCCGAGGCGGGCAGGTGGGCCCAGCAGCTGATCGTCAGAGCAAACTGGTTCACTCCCAGATGATCTTTGGAGCTACTGGTTCAGGCGAACCGGGCCGAACCGGTAGAATCCCACCCCTGATTGAGATAGGGATAATTTTTGAATACTGCCCACTCAGGCTCTAACGTAAATGTACAGCAAATTCATATTTAGGAGCTATTCAAATGATTCCATCTATCCAGATTAATTAGGGTCATGTCCCCAAAAACTTTACAACCCTATTTCTATGATGTAAAATAGGCATCTGAATCAGAAATTTTAATATCCTTACAGGATGTAAACTCTCAGCATTCTTTGGATGAAAATACTTAGTCCTTGGATTATGACTAATCCCTTTAATGTTACAAATGACCCGAAAAAGAGGACTTATGACATGGATCTGAAGTTCTGATGGTACCTACTCTCCCAGTCGTGTGACTGCACTTGGGTGCTATGCATGTCTGTTTGCAGTGTTATGTGCCCTGTTTCATAGTGGCTTTGCAAAAAGCCAGCATTGTTTTTTTCACAAAAACATGTCATAACAGGTTTGCTTAATGACTGTGGGGTTTGCTAAATAAGTCATTTTATGGCTGTTATGACCAAAATGGATATTACAGTCGTAACCTGAGGACTACCTCAAATTCAAATAGTTTTAAATATGGTTTAGGCTTCAAATGAGACCAGGAAACCACTACAGGGCAGGCTTGGCTACTGAATCATGTAACATAAACTTCTTACGATTTCCATGTGAATGGATAACTATAAAGCACTGCCTTCAATTAAGAATTTATCTCGAGTTATCTAGATTTTGCAGAGCGATGTGTCTTGACATGCTTTTATTCTCAATTATTTTAACTGGCCACGATAGATTTGTGCATATGTGGTTACTGATTCCAACCCAAGTTCATGCTATTCAAATCATCCAAAGCAAATACTTTCTTACAGATGCAAGTGCTTTTCCCAGCGCATCGCCTGTCTGTGAACTTCCTGCAGCTCCGCTTCCTCTGTTTGCTGAAAAACAAAACACAAATAAAACAAAACACAAAAAAAACACACACATGAAAACAAGAAAATGAATCTTTTTTTCCATACACTGCACCCATATCCATAATTCAGCTGCATTTTAATGGTGAGTTATACAAATCGTAATTTGCATTACTATTATTAATTATGGTGGATTTCATACATCTCAAACATACCTCTCATATTTCATGTTCAAAATGTTTTTGTTGCAATCTATTTCAATCTAGTCTTCTTTCTGTGGTGAGTGAGATACAGAGCAGTGGGTCTTTGTACAGTATGAACCTAGCATTTTACAAGAAGAGAACTGCAAGGCACCCTAGATGTTTTATTTTGCCATTCTCTTTTTGGCTAAAGAACAGAAGGCCTTATTCAACTGTTTTCAAACTGTCATCTATAGAGATGGGAGACTGAAATCAGCACAATTCCATGTTGTGTCCCCCTTAAAGTAAAGACCTAACTCATTGCCTCTATCCTACATTTAATCATGCTGAGGAAGCCAGATGTCTTATGTCAGTCCTTTGAGGCAGATAGCATCAGGAAGCAAAGGCCACAACAATTATTAGAATTTTATCATTAGAAGGCATAGTAACTGAGATTTACTCAACCTCCTCTTATACTAAAGGAGAAACTAAACACGGGAATCTTGAGGTTTTTCCCCTCACCCTCTCCTGCCTATCTGGGCTAAGTAGTGGTTTGGACAACATTTTTGAATCCCTTCTTCAAAACCATCTCCATGCCTGCTTAAAACTTGGAACAAAATTACTCCAAATAAGGCATTCTGAAAATCTGAAATCACCTCTCACTGGGAATATCTGACTTTATAGAGTTGCTATTGTGTGGAAAAATATGAGGGGGCGGGATACTGCCGTGAGCTCCAGTACAAAAGATGAGATATTATCTAATAAGTAAATAAATAGATTTCACAGTCCGCTTTTCAGAACCAAGAACAACACATGGAGTTACTTCTGAATAGTTCTTTTATTGTTGCTTGCCTACAAACAGAATCTTGCCCAAACTAAAGCAATTATCTGCCATAAGTATAGTCTGTGAATTGCTTGGGAGAATCTGACCTTGTTTTCTTCCTGTTCACCAGACATTCAATAGGGAAGGGACCTTAAGAGGTCTAGTCCAACCCCTTGGTTAGGCAGGAAACCCTACACCACTTCTGACAAATGGTTATCCAATCTCTTCTTAAAAACTTCCAGTGTTGGAGCATTTACAACTTCTGGAGGCGAGTTGTTCCATTGATTAATTGTTCTAACTGTCAGGAAATTTCTCCTTGCTTCTCTCCTTGATTAGTTTCCACCCATTGCTTCTTGTCCTGCCCTCAGGTGCTGTGGAAAATAGCTTGACTCCCTCTTCTTTGTGGCAGCTCCAAGCCCTCTGGGGAAAAAGGCCATCTCTCCTGTGTTTCCAGACTACAATCAACTACACTGCTTCATGTAACTTGCAAAGGTAACAGATGGCTTTGCATAAGATAATTCAGAAACTATTTGAGTGATCCCATTGTGATCCACACATAATGCCAATGAAGTGGGGTCAAGAAAACTGCGCACATGAATTCATCAGGAATAGAGCTCCACTCAAAGCCTTTATCTTTATGAACTAATGGTGTGACCTCAAGCCTTGTGTTCTGTCCAACTCAAATAACATCATCAAACCCTTAGCATGAGGGAGCTAATAATTAATCCCATCCTTTTTAAATGTACCAAAAAGATATGTCTGTACCGGAATGTTAAATGCAACTATTTTCATAAGGGTGAAATTATAAAGGTGATATTACGATAATTATAATCCCCATGTTTCTAGCATAATGTCTAAATAATCATCTGCATTAATGGATTTGTTTGTGGATGCCCTTTTTATAATTGTATGAAATATTTTGTATATGCCAAGGTTACATTAAAAATTGTTCTATACAAGTTTCACTGGCAGGAATATAATTGTTCTGACCCAGCTCCCCAAACATGACAAATGTGATGTGAACTCAAAAGATTCCTTTATTAGGAATGCTGGCCATCCCAGCAAAAAGTTTCTCTCACAGACTAACAAGTCAGTCCAACTGGAAGATAAATAGTTGTCTGTCACACCTATTCATCTCCGCCCCCTGCCTTTTATCCCCACAGCTAGGGTGGAGCTTCGCTAGCAGAGGTGGCTCCTCCTTCCCCAGGACCGGCCCATAGATTTCCATGCTCTCCTCTCCTCTGCCTTCTGCACATCGATGCATCAGGCACTGGACCCAGCTGTTCCTCTTCTTCCTCATCAGCCACCTCCAGATCTGGGGGCTGTTGACTCTCCATCAGAGGGCTGAGGGATGGCCCAGGCTCCCTTCTCTCTCCCTGCCAGCTCCATTCCTTCTTCCTTCTCGGAGCTCCCAGATTGCCCTGATGCTGACCCTGACTCCCACACCACCACCTCCTCCTCCTCCTCCTCTCATTTGGCTGCTGGAGGGGCCGGAGGCCGACAGGCCACAACAATAATGGTTTTGCAATCTAGAGCCAGCTACACCAAACAAACAAAAAAAATTGAGGACTACTCTGAGTTAATAAATGCAACATCTAGCCTGTTCTCCAGTCTCTAACTTGAATGGGAGCAACGAGTACATTCAGGAAATAGAAAACTTCAGCCAATTTGATATTTTCCTCAGATAAGATGTACTGGCACAGCAGGATAAAATTCATGTCCCTCTTGTGCCATATGACAGTTTAGCACCCCACTGCACTGGAAGCTTACACTAGTAAAAAAATTAAGTGCAGTATTATGTGACTGTTCCCATAATGAAATCACAATAAAACCAAGGCTTCAAGGGAAGGCGCACATCATGTTCCCACTAAAAAAGCCACATACTGCTATGTATCTTGCAATTCAAAAATGTCATTTAAAGTGAGAGTAGAAAGTGGGATTAATACATGAATGAGGCAGATCTTCTGGACTAATCTTTAGCATATGCTACATTAAATCTTTGTTAGTAAGTGGCTGCTTAAAGGCTCTGAATCTTTGAAAACACACAGAAAATACTTTGCATAGATTGAAGCATCGCCTGAAGTTAATATCTTCCAGGGTTTTTTTTTTTTTTTAATGCCGTGTCGACTCCTAGCGATTGCCTGGACCCATCCCTGTATTTATCTTGGCAACATTTTGGGGAGTGGTTTGCCCTTGCCTTCTTCCTGGGGCTGAAAGAGATTGACTGGCCCCAGGTCATCCAGCCGGTTTCATGTCGAAGGTAGGACTAGAACTCAGAGTCTCCCAATTTCTAGCCTGGTGCCTTACCCACTAGACCCAAGTGCTTCTGTTTTAATATCCACCTAGACCCATGATGGCGAACCTATGGCATGCATGCCGGAGGTGGCACGCAGAGCCCTCTCTGTGGGCATGTGAGCCGTTGCCCCAGCTCAGCTCCACCGTGCATGCACATGTGCCTCCTGCTAGCCAGCTGGTCTTCGGAGTTCTGCTGAGCATGTGTGGGGGGACGGGGTGCAATATGGTGGGGCGCATGCACAGGGATGCATGCGTATGTGGGGATGAACATGCATACGGGGAAGCGCATGCATGCGTGGGGGTGGGGCACATGCATGGGGCGCATGTGCGGGGGACGTGCGCATATTGCATTTTGGGGGAAGTGTGCACTTTGGGCACTCAGTGCTGTAAAAATTAGCCATCATGGACCTAGACAATTTCCTTTTGCTTGTCCTGCAATTTTCTCTTAGAATATCACCAGTTAACAATTATTTTCTCTTCAAGTTTCTGTCCTTTTCCAGATTGCAAGTTAACTTTGAGAGAGCAGCCAAGAATGAAATTTAATAATACAAGTTTACTTTTTTGGAGAGCAAAATCAGACCAGGCAAATAAAAGGGGCTGGATTATTCACAGATCAAACTCTTAACCCTGCACTCTTGTTGACTTGAGTTTCCAGTCAGTATAGCAAGAGCTCCAACCAAATATCCTTTTTAATCTGTGATTACACAAAAAGCAAAGTTTTCTTCTATGATATCTGATCAGCTCCACAAGCTCTTTCTCCAGAAAACAGACGAGGAGAAACTGCCGGGACTTGCCTTCTTCAATGTAGTAAGAATCCTACAACTCACCCATTATACTTTCTGTTCCGTTTGCCGGAGGTGTACAGGAAGAAGCACTGTAATGGGTTGTGGCACTGCGATGGAAAGTGGACATTGGAGGAAGACTGGAATTGATGTCTGCTGAGGAGTGTGATGGGTAGCTCTGTGGCACATAGCAGGAAAAGACAACATTTTAGTTAGCAGGTGATGGTTGTACAGAATTGCTGATTTTCTCGTTCATTCATTCATTCATTCATTCACTCACTCACTCACTCACTCATATTTATATAACTCACATATAAGTGACTCTGGGCAGTCTCAAAAAAATTAAAACTCCATAAAAACTATTTAAAAAACCCCATCCCACCTTCCTTAGCAGCAACAACACAGTCAAATCAGCCATTTGATTGGCTCCATCTCCATTCATGATCTTCAGACCTGCTCACGAAACCACGTTCAGAAAAGCAGCAGGCTGCAGGCTAACTGAACGTCAGGGGAGTCCTGTCCCATAAAGAAGGTTCACTGTATAATGGAACCACTATTTTTAGGAGATCTCTTATTGCCTATAAACAACCTTGATCACCCAGCTTGGATGGAAAGGTAGAATATAAAAAAAACAATTCAGTGACATCCCTCAGGGGGATTTTTGGGGGGTTTGAACCCTTGTTTCATCCTAAAATCTTTGATATGTAGCTGAGAGACCCACAGGCGTTAAGGTATAGCATGACCTGTTCCAGAACCCCAGCAGAACATAAGAACAGCGGATCAAAGAACAAAACTCCATTGTAAGGCTGTAAAAATTGTTCACATTTATGTGAGTAAAGGCCGTTTTAAAGACTGTCACGCAAGGAAGCATCTTCAAAGGAAAAAAAAAAGAAAGCATCCTCAAGACAGGGTTCTGCTGCATAGAGTTAGCTTTGCTTGGCCTCCTCCTCATTTTGCAATTAGGATTTAAAGTCTCACACATGTGGGAAAAAAGATTTTATTTTTAAACCATGAAATGTACAGTGGTTTTTCTTTCTCTCTCTGTGTGTGCATGTTGTCCATGAAGAGACACCACATTTCTTCATTTATAATTCTGCTTTTGTCACATAGTTTTTCTTCAGAGGTGGTATTCAGCAGGTTCTGACCAGTTCTGGAGAACCGGTAGCAGAAATTTGAGTAGTTCGGAGAACCCACAAATCCTACCTCTGACTGGCCCCGCCCCCATCTATTCTCTGCCTCCCGAGTCCCAGCTGATTGGCTGGGTCGTCTTTTGTTGCCCTGCACAGGAGAATGGAGCTGGAAAGCAGGTTAATGGGGTGGGGAGGGAATGGGGATTTTACAGTATCTTTCCTCTGCCATGCCTACCACAGAACTGGTAGTAAAAAAAAAATCTGAATACCACCACTGGTTTTCTCTTAAGCAGTGAAATCCATGGCTCTTCTCTTCCAACAGAGATAAACATGAGTGTGTAAGAGAAAGTGGCTTAAATTGGTTAATAGTTTATCTTTTACATTTGGGCCACACACACACACAGATTGACACCTAGTGCTGATTAGTAGCCTTACCAAGCGGTCATGAGGATGAAGACTGCAATAGCTACTGGACTGTGGAATATGAGATGAATTGCCCAACATTCCTCCATATCCAGGAGGATTCATTCCACTGGATGAGTTCCACGGATCACTGCTGTGGTGGCCGTCTGCAAAATGTACAGAAGAAAATATGGCTTCTCTGAATACACAGTTTTCTCACTAACATTCCGAGGTTGTGTTTTTTTTTTTAGCAAATGTTAAAATTAGCATTCTAATAGGGCTTGACGAAGGCCTTATGTACTATCCAGTGTTGGATAGTAGCTGACAATAAAAGACAGCAAACACAAGTAGGGAAACTGTGTTGTCATCCTTTGTCACATGGGAGCCACACTAATCTTACGTAACTGCATGAGCATGATTTTTTTAAAAAAAGTTTTCTAAACAGGAGTGCAAATGACATTTCTGAAATTACCACTGATTAGTCAGAGATATTCTGTGCAATTTTGAAAACATTTGTGCTATTTTTATCAGAAACCTACACAGTTGTGACCTACATTGTTATTAATCCTTGCTCAATATGTTTCTTTAAAAGAGCATTTAAATAAGAGTCTAAATAGATTCTGGGGTTTTATTTTATCACACAAATATTTTGATTCCAAGACTTGACTTTTTGGCCAACTTCATATCCCAATGTCATATATAAAATATTTATGAATCAGAACAGAGATATGTATGATTTAGGAAGATGATCAGAAACTTTTCCTATAGACAGACATTTACCAACAAAAGCTAATTGGAAAAGATACATATTTAAACTTAAAAGAAATTTGTCCCCAGAATTTTGTCTTTTCTACCTTTCAGTTGATGAACCTTTATTTTTTGATCTCAGATACTTGGTTTAGGGGAAAAGTTGGGAGATAGCTAAAACGTCATTATGCTTTTAGGGTTATAGATCAAAATACAAGGATCAGCTAAACAGAACTCATTATTTTGCAATAAATTTTAGAGTAAAATACATTATGAGCTATTTTAAGATAAGGCGTAAACACATCTATTTTCTTCCTGACAATAAATTGGTGCCTAGTCTCACAGATTAACAAAACAATCTGGAGTGTGTTATTTGAGTTTTGATTATCCAGAAGATATCTAATGTACTACTTATCAGGTGATCCAAGAATATTAAGCAGTTATGTTTATCCACATGAAAAGTACAATAAAGTCAAACTTTCAATAGTATAAGCCACAAGGGTAAATTGTAAGGCTCTGGGGATGTTCCTGAATCTGCCTTCCAATATCCTTGAAGGAAATTAAATCAAGGAAGCATAAACACAGTTTGAAAGTTGGAAGTATGGTTGCATATCATATTTGTGGGTCAAATGTGAAGCTCTGTCTGGTTATTGGAATCTAATTGTTTCTGCCTTGCTGCAAATTTATTTGACAATAACCCAAAACTCTCTTTGAACTCAACTTTCAAGAAGACAGCAAATTGTTAACAACCATTGAGGAAGCTGAGCTATACAGAAAGTAATCTTTAGCTTAAGTTAGAAGGATCAATCCGTGTCTACTTTCTATCTTTAATAAATCTATGTCAATACACTCATCATAATGGGCAACATGAAACAATTTTCTCAAAGATTTTGATTGGATTGCTTATAAGGGGGTAACCGTCTAAAATAGGGGTGTCCAACTCGATTTCAATGAGGGCCACATCAGGGTTGTGTTTGACCTCAGGGGTCTGCGGTAGGTGTGACCAGCTTGATGTCACTCAGGGGCGCCTGTGGTGGTCTGAGTGCTCTGCCAGAGAAAATGGGCCTCTTGCAACCCTCTGCCAGTGAAAATGGAGCTCATGAGGAGCTCCTGCAGCCCTCTCTGAGCTCCATTTTTGCTGGCAGAGGCACCGAGGGCCTTTGCTATTTCCAGGACGGCCCCATGGGCCAGATCTAAGCTCCCTGTGGGCTGGATCTGGCCCCCAGGCCTTGAGTTTGACACCCTGATCTAAAATTTAAATAAGGAGCTGACCAACAATAAATGTAGCTGGGATATAACCGACTCCTCTCTAGCACAGAAAAAGGGTGCAATCTCTTTAAATTACAGGTAGTCCTCAGCTTATGACCACAATTGAGTCCAAAATTGATCTTGCTAAGTGAATCCTTTTGCTCCATTTTACAACTTTTCTTGCCATGGAATCATTGCAGTTGTTAAGTTAGTAACATGGTGGTTAAGACAGTGAACCAATGGCTTCCCCATTGACTTTGCTTGTCAGAAAGTCGCAAAAGGAGACCAGGTGACCCCGGGACACTGCAGCCGACATAAATATGAAGCAGTTGCCAAACACCTGAATTTTGATCACATGACCATGCGGATGCTACAACGGTCGTAAGTGTGAAAAACAGTCATAAATCACTTTTTTCAGTGCCATTTATAGCTCCAGAGAGTTATAAACACAGCACAAAAAATCATCGGTTGCTCTCTTTCTTCTTTGGAAGAGAATGCGAAGAGCAGACTCCTCTCTAGAACATTAAAAATCTCCACAGACCGTTCTCATCCTGGACATTCATATTTCGAACTGTTACCATCAGGGAGGCGTTTTCAGTATCTTTAAATGTGGACTAATAGATTGAGAAACAGTTTCTTTTCCAAGGTAATAATTGTCTTGAATCAAACAGTGCATTTGTGATTTAGTCCTATTATTATTATAATTATTTTAATTTTTAAATACTCTGTAGTGTGATTGTGATGTGGTGTTTGGGGCACTGTGCTGGAGTAGCTTTCAAATTTCATTGTATTCATGGAATGCAATGACAATAAAGGTATTCTTCTATTGTCGAGGACTACCTGTACTTTTGTCATTCTGTATAATGTAACTGGTATATGTTTGCCCATTGAAAGGCATCGCTTCCAAAATGTGTATGAAGGGTGATACTTTTAGCACGTTCTAATTTTTAAAACTAAAATTCACTTTCAAGTCCATGGTGTGTAAACTTGATCAGCACTAAAGAAACTGATCTCCCTTTTTTTTAAAAAAAAAGTGTGCAAGATGCTTTGCTGGTTTTGATTAAAGTTCTGGTAAGATTACTCATCCTATGAATGACCAGTGAGATACACCTTGGCCAGCTTACAAAGATGATGTGAAAGTGATGGCTTCCCATTGGTATGTGTTCTAATTACCTGGTATTCAGTAATATATCCTAATTCCACTCCCACCTTTTATTTTTATCATCGGAACAACAGAATACATCTTTGGTCAGACTAAGAAATAGTAACTTGCCCAAAGCCAGACACTGAGTTGGCTAATTAAATGAAAAACTGCATCGGGGTGTCAAACTTGTGTTGTCATGGCGTTGTCACGTAACGTATCATTCCCCCCCCCTTCGCTAAACCAGGTGTGGGCGTGGTCAGTGCATGACGCATCTGGACCATGGGCCACAAGTTTGACACTCCTGATCTACATGGTGGCTTGTCTATTAGATTGAAATACTCTAATCACTATACTGGCTATAACTGAATATATTTAGCTAACATGGCTAACAGTTACTGACAGACACATTAATTATAAATTTCCTTATCACCAAAGCCTTTTGTATATAGTGGGGTAATATATTTATCAATGTTCCACCTTTTGAGAAACTTCCAACATGGATATTCCTTGCACCACAGATTTCTGCAGAGGGAATACAGCCATTTGATTGGTCTGCTTTGGATATCTAATGGATTCATATGGTTTCCAGAGGATCCTTGAGGAACATCCTGTGGTCTTGGTTGGCCTAATTGAACCTTGAAATATAGAGGTGGCTGTGCCTTTTACTAAGATTGCTCATAAGAAGCCTCTCCTATTTTTTATCTAGGAGCGCCATCGTCCACTGAAAAGCTTTGGGAGTTGAAGCAGTACATGGGATGCCTAGAGTGGCAATTACATACAACAAGAGAAAATACAACTGAAGATATTTATAAATTCAACTTCAAACCTACTTGATGGCAGTAAGAGCAGTAAAATATCAATTTTCCATTATTATCAAGATATAGGCTGGGGACCATGAAGCAAATTTGGCCAATAGTCGAAGTTTAGTTTAGTTCAGGGGTCGCTAACCTTTTGGACCTCAGGGACCACCAAACTCATAATTTTAAATCCCACAGACCAGAGACCCTGGGAAAATCCCCCCAAAAAATCTGCAGGAAAATTCTCCACCCCATTTTCCCACTGATCGATCATTCTTTATTTGGGATCGCAGGATACCGTCTCCAGCTCTGTTCTCAGGGGGAGAGAGAAAGACTTTTGGCAAGGAAAGCAGCAGAAATCTTTTTTCCTCTCCCTCAAACTCCTCCAGAAATGAGTCTTTGTGAGACTTGTCATGTCAGTACAGCATCTTGGAGCAGGATGCCTTTCAGGGTCCCAAAGATTTGTTTCTGGCAGAGTTTGGGGGAGAGAAAGAAAGACTTTTGCTGCTTTCCTTGCGTGTAGCCAAAAGCAGAAGAAGCAGAAAGAAGCAGCCCGGTGGCCAGGCGAGGCACGTGGGGCTAGTGGGGAAAATTCCCGCCTTCGCCCTTTTCCCCCTCCCTTCACTACCTCATGCTGTTCGCAATGCAAGTGATGCCAGCCTTGTGTTCCCATGGTCCATGTGGGCTGCACAACTTTGTGTTCCTGCGCAGCCTAGATTAACTGCTTTGGGAGTGACGTTTCTCTGAGGACACCAAAATTTTCTCACAGACCACCAGTGGTGCCCAGTCCACTGGTTGGTGACCACTAGTTTAGTTTTACTTTACTGTCATTGCACCTTGTACAATGAAATTAAATACCATTTTCAGTGTACATTATGACTATGAAAATAAATACAAACACATATCCTTCACATTCTATACATTGAATTGAAAACCCCTGATATTGCATTAATATGCAGTAGAATTCAATAGAGTTACTGCCCTGGGATAGAAGCTGTTTTTCAGCCTATTTGTCCTTATTTTTATTATCCTGTACCGTCTGCCAGATGGTAATAGTTCAAAAAATGGGTGGATGAGATGGATCTCTGAGAATGTTTTGAACCTTCTTAAGGCAGCAGGAGCTATAAAGCTCTTCCAAAGAGGGGATAAGGCAACCAATGATCTGGGCAATGACATTAACCCTCTGGAGTGCTGTCCTATCTGCCACTGTGCAATTGGCAAACCATATAGAGGTGCAGTAAGTTAAAATACTCTCTATAGTACAACGGTCAAAGGTCACCAGCAGTTTTTCATTTAATTGTTATTTTCTGAGAAGTCTCAGGTAGTATAATCTCTGCTGAGCCCTTTTGACAAATGCTGCAATGTGGCCTGGTCCTCTTTTAGGGTAACACCCAGAAACTTAAAATTGGCCAGAAAAAAAATATACTTTGTTGAGACTGGAAAACCAAACTTGGGGAACAAGAAGCAATAGCACACTTTTCAGTTAGGATTTTGATACGGGAATGCAATTGCATTGGTTGCTATTGTTAATGCCTTATAATGATGTCTTGTCATGCTCCTACTGGATCTCTCATGTACCTTCAATACTATCGATCTCTGCTTCTTTCTGGGTTATCTGTGAGGGTTGGGAGCAAGGGAAACATGACACACTTCCACACCAGCTGGGCAGAATCAAGGAAACACAGATTTCAGCAAGTTCTGTTTATTGCTAGTTTGGTGGTATATAAAGAATGTCAAAAACTGCAAAGGAAGTTTTCCACCCTCCTTCATAGTGCTTTCATTAAGGTGGAGTCTTTTTGAAGTATCTGAAGTGCTTCTTCCTAACTTTCTGGCCACCTGGGCTGAATCCTTGTTTATATGATAAGCTGCTGTCTTTTGATTGTTTATGTCTACTCTCCCTTTTCTTATGAAAGCCTGCATTTTACTCCCAAGGAAAGTAGTCCCAGGAGGTAAAATGAGGATGACATGACATTGGTGCTGTTGTGGATTATGAACTATTCTTGTTTAAATTACATTTGGGGGGCTTTAATTCTCAATAATATTGATGCTTTAATTCTCAATACTATAATGCTACTCAGAGTCAGTCTCTGAAAACTCCAAGCAATGAAGAAATGTGGGAAGAAATAAGTGTAAACAAATCTCTATATTTTAACAAAAGGAAGCAGCAAAAGAAACACAACATTCAAAGAAGCTAGTACCCCAAAGGAAACACAAGGGGTTATCACAGGATAAGATCAGTAAATAAGTATTATACGAATAAGTCACACATAACTGTTTATTTAAACGTTTTATTTTTGTTTTTCCCCTAATCGTTTTGTTTTTAAAAAATATTATTTATCTCATCTCTGCTATTGGTAATTTTCCTGCTTGTGGTAACTTTTATTCATAAAGAAAAATTCTTTTTTTAAAAAACCATGGCATGAAGTCATACAGTTTATCGGTCCACTTCTGGACTTTCTTTTTCACTCTGTTGTATTTGTATGTCAAGCTAAGGATAGGAACTATCAACACATCTGGCTGACATGAATTCTAATTCATTAATTAAGTTGGTTCTGAACCTATTTCCTGACAAGTTAATTAGGTGACAATGATGGCTGTGAAAGGTGGCAAAAAAGTTATTCTCTGGAATGAAAAAAATTTTTTTTACAGAACATTCATAACATCAGTTATCTGCTAATAAAAGGGTCTGATATCTTTTCTACAGTGATGTAACAGAAAAGATAAGCAAGAAACTTTTGAGAAATTAAAATATCTACAAAAATATCCCAAGGGTGTCTTTTTTTCCAAGAGGCAACTGGACTTTCTGGTTTTTCTTGGAAGACATTTTGCTTCTCATCCAAGAAACTTCTTCAGCTCTGACTGAACTGAAGGATCCTTCCATTCCCCACCATCCAGTCAGAGCTGAAGAAGCTTCTTGGATGAGAAATGAAACGTCTTCAAAGAAAAACCAGAAAGTCCAGTTGAAAAAAAGCACCATTGGGAGAGCCATTACTTGGATGACTGAGAATTTTCATAGACATCTACAAAAATAGTTTTGCCTTACCTGATGTTCTATATATGGTTGAGCCAAAATTCTAATAATTTGGCTTCCTTGCTGTTTTTGTCCCCCCCCCCACCGTCTCATTATTCTATTGATTTCTATCTTGATTCATTGACTTTTTATTTTAGTACATTAGTTTTTGTATGTTGTGAAAAGCTGTGTAGGTATGTTTGCATAAACACGCAAAACACTGTTCATATATTACAGAATCAAACTCAGCCAATGAACAATACATAAATTGAATCAAAAAAGCTCAAAGGGAGAAAACGCTGGCAAATTCCCCCAATTATACATGAAGCTTAGTTATAACTGAGAAGATTTAAAATTCAGTCAATGAAGGAAAAATGATTCAAAGAAAAATGCAGTTATTTTTATTTTATTTATTTTCTTATTACATTTTTATGCCACCCCTCCTCTATAAGGTGGTGGTGTTCAGCAGGTTCTGACCAGTTCTGGAGAACCAGTAGCGGAAATTTTGAGTAGTTCGGAGAACTGGCAGATACCACCTCTGACTGGAGATTTTACAGTATCCTTCCCCTGCCACGCCCACAGAACCGGTAGTAAAAATTTTCTGAATCTCATCACTGTCTATAAGGATCTACAATTTAAAGGGAAAAAAAAACTGTACTGAATTTAAGAGCCAAGATGCCATTCCATAAGGAAGAGCAATGAGACTAGATGAGGCAAATTAAAATCCTTGCAAATTTCCCTGCCTGTTTTTTTCTAGTTGCGTTGGTTTGTAAAAGTGGGTTTGTGGTTTTCATGGAGCTCAAGCAATAATATTATTAATAAATACAGCTGTGGAATATAACGTTTTTAGTATCATTTTTTTCTCCATCAATGATTGGTTTACATGTAAAGTCTCATTTCTGAGATTATATTTAAGGTGAGTGAATGACTCCTCTCCACGTGTGACTGATTACACTGAGGTTTTTCCTGATCAATTTAATTGCTCTATCAATTGAATATTGTTACAAACCATTTGACCTACAATGCTAATATTATTAGATCATTCTTTGAACTGGATGCAAAGAACTGAACACGTTCATCCCATTAGCTGTTTTTATACAAAATATTTTTGTGTGTATCCAACACTAGGGCTTCAAGGTTGTGATTGAAACCATGCCAAAGGGCAGTAAGGCCCACTGAATATGATTAGACTTACAGCATGCATCAGATTGTTTTGCACATCTTGCTGAAAATATCTGTAATCAAGGATTTCCACTAGAGAAAATTAAACCTATCATTATTTCTTGAGCACTATTATGCGCCATTGGTGTTCAGAGTTCGGAATGCTGCATTTCAGATCTTACTCCTTAATTTCAAGTGGAAGGAAGAGGCATACAGATACATTTTTCTTCGTGTTTACCACTCTTCCCAATGAATAGCAATAGCACTTAAGACTTATCTACGCTTTACAGCCCTCTCTAAGCTGTTTACAGAGTCAACATATTGCCCTCCAAAATTTGGGTCCTCATTTTACCCACCTTGGAAGGATGGAAAGCTGAATCAATTTGAGCCTGGTGAGATTTGAACTGTCAAATTGCAGTCAGCAGAAGTAGCCTGCAGTACTGCATTCTAACCACCGCACCACCATGTTTCAGTGTTAAGATCTGGGTAAGGGACAGCTCCATTTTGACCCAGGAGCCCAGCAATTTATGTTTACATCAAATCATGAGCACATTTGCCATGTAGGAGTCTGTGTGTCTGAATTCAAAGTACTATTATTTCACTATATACTATTATTTCACTCCCAAATATGTTCGCTTCCATAAACATTTGGAAGAGCAACAAAGTCAGCAACGTTGCATATTGTGAATTCGTATTTGGCAGCAAAACCGACTGTACAAAATGTTTATTAAAAGATCCCTTTCAATCTGCAATATGTCTTGTGGCCTTGATCGTCCTTTATCTGTCTGGCATGCTACTATGTTAACCTCTTCGCTTTGAAAGAGAAATCAAGATTGCCTGGAATTGTCCATCTGGCAGGAAACTCTGTAAACAAAGAACTGAGCTCAGGACTTCAGTGTCCTGTCCAATGACCCTTAAGGACACGCATCAGAAAATCCCTTCTTTGATAACATCCTACCTTGCATGAAGAAAGAACTAGGAAAAGTGCTGGCTGCTGGTTTTGAGGATGGATAGCCGGGCGAATCCCGATTGTAATCGGCAGTGCTTGCAGAAGGGGCATAAACCTATGGACAGAAAAAACAAGACCAAAAAATTAAATGCACTAATAGCTTTCCAAGAATTGGAATTTTTAAATTTGTTAAAACTGTACAGCACCACTATATGATTCTCTTTATTGGTGCATGACTGTATTTTAAAACCTACTTTAGCAAATATTGAATTTACCAGCGAAACTCTCCTCTTGTAACCTTCAATTGGATAAAACAGTGCATCGCAGGGAAACAATCTTTGCAAATGTTAACTCAAATGGATTATCTCATAAAAAACGAGCCCAAAATCTGGAACCCCTGACTACTGTGGGACTGAAATTTGGCAAACATATGGCCTTTTCCGTATCACTGCCAGTCATCCATGATCATGTGATCACCATTTCCAATGTGCCCTGCCAGATTCCCACAAGGAAAGTCAATGGGGAAGATGGCAGGAAGTCAGAAGTTTCCTCCACTCCCACTATTTTTTGCCTGCCTGTGGTCATTCTGTTTCTTTTTTAGGTCAGGAAATGTCTTTGAAACTATGACCCAACAGGTCACGGTTTGTCTAGTCGATGATAAAACGACTAAAATTTTCTCCATGAAAACCTCTCCTATTGAGGGATCACACACCTATGTCCCCTTTTCAATGAATTCAGATCCTGGGAGTATGCACTTAAAAGGCCCACTCTAAATCCAAATATATATTCACAAAACACATAAACTTATCCCTCAGGATGGTTTTTTTTTTTTGCCATCTAAGTAGCATTTTTGTGGTAAAAGTCTACTCAATGAGATATTAAAGGCTCATAATTTTACTGTGGAATGCCAGCTTCTTATTCAGTTATTTTTTTTAAAAAAAAAATCTTTTTGAAAAAAATAAGGATGGAATCATGACCCTCATAGAAAACACAAAACATATTTGTGACCCCTTAGGAACAATGGAACATACATCAGTTCTGAGATGAAAAGGCATACCATCAGCATACTACCAGAGAGCCATTAAGTTTTATGAACAATCTGTTTTAGATCCTCCTCCAGTTTTCTTCAACCACAAGGAAGTTTAGACATAGCTTGGGCCAAGTCACCTTGTGAAAATCTGTGGTTGACAATGGAACTGAATCCTCCAGAGTGTCTCCATTCTTAGTCTGATGCCTCAATTGTACCACACTGGCTCAATCCTGTTTATTTTTCTGTTACACATTTTCACCCCTCTGTATTATCCTTTACTGCCTCTGTTCTCCAATGTGAAAAAAGGCTGTGGAAGCACTTTCCTCAACATGCCTTCTCTTGGGACTTGAAGCTCTGGAAGCCAATGAAGCTGCTGACCTCAGGGAAATGATTTCACAGTGAAAGAGAAGACATACATTCTGAAGTTTGATATTATTGCATGCCCTAGCACATTGTTCAAGAATGAAATATGGTAGTTTGAAAAAATAAATAAAGTGCTTAGGTTAGGCTGCATCTATTCAACAGACAATTTCTTCCATCCCTGAAATGAAATCTATCTGGCCCTGGAAATCTGAATTTATCTGTACATCACACTGGAGTTAAAAACCCAAACACGATTATTATAACTAACTTGAATTTAGACTGTACTACAAATGAATGCAAATTTGAATTTAATCTGTACTATTTTAAAATGAAGAATGGAATCGCGCATGATTGAATAACTGGTATGCGAGGGAGAACAAAAAAACTAGATCAGAATGTTTCTTCTTGATTGTATTATTTTGAATAGACAAATATTATTATCCTATGGAAGATACACAATCATGCTGGTTCTTCTAGCCATATTAATAGCAGAATGCAAATGCAATTTACTGCCCAAATGCCTTATCACTGCAGAACTTTGTATCTGCTCATACTTCCTTATTTTCCAACCCACAAATTCATCACCACAGGGAGGAGGAATTCTGGCAGAAAATATGATTGAAACAAGCTGTAAGAAATAAAATAGGAGTCGACATGAGAGATACCTATGCAGTTAGTCCTCAACATACGATTGTGATGCCAGTTTTTATGACCTGCTTTTATGACCTGTGGTCATTAAGCAAATCCATTGCTCAGGAATGTTTTTGCTGAAGTATTGGTTTTCAGCGAAAATATCATTCACGCTCAACTGACCATGGGATGCTGCAAACAGCTGTAAAGGCAGACCAGTTGCTAAGTGCCCAAAATGCGGTCATGTGACTGTGGAGTGGGGAGCAAGCCACTAGATCTTCAAAACTGGGCCGTAAGTATCTTTGGTATGGGGGGGGGGGATGTTGTAACCTCAGTTACTAAACAACCAGTTGTAAGTTGGGGACTATCTTTACACCAGACAGCATACATAACAAAACCATTTAGGCTGAAGCAGAATTTCTGAACTTGAAAAGGAAAAAAATATCGTTCTACAGTATCATATCTGCTGCCCCTGAAGGTCAATACTCTGTAAGGCATAGTGTATATCTGGAAGAATTGTAATATCATGAAGGTAATTTTTAAAAAGTCTCTAAACTGATCTATTATATGGAAGTAGAGTTCAAACATTAACGGAACAATGTAAGAAACCATCAAATCATTCCTTTGTTCCCAAGACTAGAAATGGAATTTCAAAAGCATGACTCAAAAGCACTGAAAGTTCTAAACATATCCCAGGATACTAAACCTGCTCTTTTTTTGAGAAGCTCAAAATAACTAGTAAAAATCCAGATCAGCCCAGGACCACCAAAGCAGTGTGCATACATTTGGGGGGTGAGGCACCTCTTTTTTAGTGCTCCGCATATTTGTGCGTACAGTAAACTTAGTAAATATGCCAAAACTTCATTTACTTAACATTTGTTTACTAATAAGCAGACATTTCCCCCCCCTAACAATTCTTTCCAGGGGTGAAAGCAAACTCTATTTAAAAACTTTGATTTCTTATAAGTGCCTGGGCACTTCAGAGTTCCTGGATAATTATTTTTTTAAAATTTGTTGACTATATATACAGCTATTTGTATATTTAATGTTTCTGTTTTTTTAAGATCTTCCAATTCCAGATGGTCAGGAAGACCAAAACATTCTTATTATCTTGATGAAAAGGGATACTTTCCTGCCTTCATTTTGAAACAAGCAAGGAAGGATATCACAAACTAGCCACAGTCTTATTGGGATATTGACATGCTACAGTAAAATGAATGGAAAAAATAATCACAAAGCCAGAAGGGGAAAGAAGAATACAAATATACATCTTACAAACAGGACAATAGTTCACTTCAGAGAATAAAAGCTGCAACCAAGGAGAGAGATCCTAAAGATAATGAATGATGACCATAATAAGGATACAATGCTTTAGTGTATACTCCTGCACAAATGTTCTCAGAATATTTTAATGCTTGGATAGAAAGCACTGTTTTAGTCCTGATCATAATTATTATACAGAAGTAAGTTAAAAGACTTTTTGGGGAAGTATTTGAAATAACTGCATTTTAAAGAAAGAGCAGATGCATAGAATCCAAAGGATGGGAGAGTGATAGATGGTGATGTCATCTTTAATGCTTTGTCCATTATGTTTTTGTTAATTATTTATTAAGCAATTTTATTATAGGCATAGCCCAAAGGACAATTCAACTCCTTTTTTAAAAAAAGAACCAGAAGTGTTGCTATCATAATTAACCACTTGCAGATATATCCACGTAGGCTAAGAGCAGTGTAACCGTGCAGTCCATCCCATTTCTATAATCCATTTTCTGGATTCAGTTTAATATCACATCAAACCAAAAGATAATTTTATCTGGATGGGAGGACCTGGCTCAACTGCGGGCCTGCATTTATTTAAGTTGTGGTTTGCAAACTAACCTAGGAGAAAATGTGAGTGAATTCACAGGGTTTGGCTAAAAGCATCCTCGAACATCAGGAGCACAAACAAAGGCAGTGCTTCTATGATAGACCTGGCTGGGCTGTTTGCTGGTCTTAGGCTGTGCCATCTGGAATGGGAAAGTTTGCTTTCTCATTCAATACACTCCACCGGAGAATAACAAAGAAAAGTCACATTTAGGTTAATGGCTCCTTTAGGGATTGATGTGGCAAGCAGTAGCAATCACTTCACATTCCAAATGAATGAGAGACTGGATAGCTGAACACTGTTTCTCAACATAAAATATCGTGCACGCGCACCCATGTGCACCTCCCCAACCTATTCAAACAATGAAGACTTTTTCCTCTAATTTCTTTGCTTTATGTTTGGGGATAGCCTGGATAAACACCCATATACACAATATGTTTCCCTGAGGATGGTCTCCAGTACAAGTCCGAAAGCTCAGGAGACTAAATCTGTTGACCGACCCAGAATGGATCCTGCAACATTATACTGGGACACCTGTACTTGACTTCATTCTCTCTCTCTCTCTCTCTCTCTCTCACACACACACACACACACACACACACACACACACAGAGTACACTTGTGTGTTCAGCAATGAAAAGCTCCTCTTGTAGATGTTTATCCTGGACTTGTGTTGGTCTTAAGTCTTCTTTGTAAGGTGCAACAGAGGACAAGAGGCGTTGAAGTCCAGCCTGAACAGAATCCAGTAAGAGGATTGTGGGAACTGCCTTCAGAGAGGTATGTTATGTAGAATGAAATGGAAAAAAAAATCTGGAATATCACATTTGTACTGGCAGAAAGTCTCTGTGTTTTCCATATTCTCATTTATAAAAGTTTCCTGAATATAGTAAAAGGTTGCACGAGGGAGAAGAATATGTGAATCTTTTCTCTACATACACATGGAGAATTTTTAATGAGGATTTTTGGAAATCAAAAAGAAGGACTGGACAAAAATATACCTGATTATTTTGCATAATGGGTAGAAGTTGTTCGAATGTGGTATCATGGGGATCTGAAATAACAAAAATTATTATAAATGTCTGTGTTCTAATAGTTAACTGCCCATAAGAGAACATTCAGTACTTCTGGGATATGAAGGAAATAACCTCAGTAAAAAAAATTCTCTCCAAATTCTTGGAAGTTTCTCATAATTGGGGTTTGCAACCTAGAAATGCAGATCTAAAAATAT